GGCATCGGGCACCTGGCGGGCATGACGCGCAGCGCGGCCGAGGGCTGCCTGGGCCTGGAGCAGCTCACGCTGCAGGACTGCCAGAAGCTCAGCGACCTCTCGCTCAAGCACCTGGCCCGCGGGCTGGGCCGCCTCCGCCAGCTCAACCTCAGCTTCTGCGGGGGCATCTCGGACGCGGGCCTGCTGCACCTGTCGCACATGAGCAGCCTGCGCAGCCTCAACCTGCGCTCCTGCGACAACATCAGCGACACGGGCATCATGCATCTGGCCATGGGCAGCCTGCGGCTGTCCGGCCTCGACGTCTCCTTTTGCGACAAGGTGGGGGACCAGAGCCTAGCCTATATCGCACAGGGCCTGGACGGGCTGCGCTCCCTCTCCCTCTGCTCCTGCCACATTAGCGACGAGGGCATCAACCGCATGGTGCGGCAGATGCACGGGCTCCGCACCCTCAACATCGGCCAGTGCGTCCGCATCACTGACAAGGGCCTGGAGCTCATCGCCGAACACCTCAGCCAGCTCACGGGCATCGATCTCTACGGCTGCACCCGCATTACCAAGCGGGGCTTGGAGCGCATCACCCAGCTGCCCTGCCTCAAGGTGCTCAACCTGGGACTTTGGGAAATGACTGAGAGCGAGAAGGTCAGGTGAGGGAAGGGGGGTGCCCCGAGACCTCCATCTCCTCTGGAGGGACTCACTGACTGACTGACTGACTGACTGCTGCAATGGAGGAGAGAAAGAGAGAGAGGGGCGCGCACAGAGCCATGCTACCCACGCACCCTGGCACCGGAGGGAGGAACATAGAGAGTATATCCTCAACCCTTCTGTGCTGCCTACCTACCCTTGCTCAGGAGGAGGTGGAGGAGGAGGAAGGGGGGGCAGGAGGAGAGAGAGAAAGCACCTATCCTTTTTCCAGGTCATGCCTCCAGCTCCACGGTGGGGAGACAGAGCTCCCCCTTCCCCCACAGCATCCTTTCCTGCGGAAGAGGTAGAAGCCCACACTCTTATGCACTGGGGCTAGAGACACCCCTCTTTATCCCCACTCCCTGTTTCCATCCCCTCGTGCACTAAGGATGGATAAAGAAAGACCCTTGTTCTGCCATGTATTCAGAATAATTATTTTTGGTTTATATAAAGGAGAGTGGGAATGGAGATGGGAACAAACAGTAACAACAGCAGAAAAGGCTTCCTAGCTACACTTACGTACCCGTCCACCCAGTCATCCTGCGCTGGGCACAGACACAGCTTTTGGTAAAATAACCATTCCACCTCTGCGCTTGCCCCTCCCCTGTCAACTGGGAATTGTGACAGAAATACTGCTCCCTAGGTACATTGATGATTTTTTTTTTTTTTTTTTTTAAATCTGTTTTCAATCTCCAGTTCCATGTTATTCTCTGCTGTGGGTGGATACAACCTCCCACTATTCCAGTTCTCCACTGCACTGAGACTAGGGATAGCTACAGCCTCTCCTTTTGTCAATATGTTTCCGATTCATCCTGCACTATGGTTAATGGAAAAGCCTAGGCACTCCATTCTCTCTCCCCATCTCTCTACGGGAGATGAAGATACCATTTCCTCCTTCTCCTGTCTCTGTGGGGACTGGACACAGACCCCAGTCTCTTAAGCCTTCCCATGCACTGGGGGACACAGAGTTACCGAGACTCATCTACCCTTTCATCATTCTCTCTTTTTCTCCCCTCCTTCTTCTTGGCAACAGGGATAGACATATCCAGCTACATATCCATTCCTCTTTGGGTCAGGGGTGAGCGGGTAGGAGGGGTGGCTAGCTCCCCTCTGTCCAGGGGACTTGAGGAAGAATCTCCAGCTTCATTTCTGCTTCATTTGAGATACTGTGACCTGTTTTTATTTTGAAATGCATAAAAAAAATTACTGCTACAAAAACAGCCTCTTACTCTCCCATCTATCCCTTGCTTACGTCCTGTAACTGATCCCAGTTTTCCTCACTCATTCTCCTCTTTACAGTATTCATTTTCTTACATGGTTTTATTTTTAAAGACATTTGAAGTTGCTGTTCTTGTGGATTTTTAAGTACATTTTTTTTCTGCTGAATATATTCTATATATATAAATATATATATGATGTCTGGCTACCTCGTTTTAATTTGTTACCTTCCCCCCCCTCCCCTTCCTCAAAAGCCCTGGAATTCTTACAGGAAAGAGATTTTGAGACTGAAACATTTTTGTGCCTAGACTGGAATAATGCCCCTTGGGTTTGTTCTTCTTTTTCTCCCTGCCCCCCCCTCCTTTTTTTTTAAATTTTTTTTTTTTTTTAAGCTTACCCTACTGTGTCCCACCTTCACATTCTGGTTGTGCCTCTCCCCCCCTCTTCACTGGGGACTGGGGACCCGAACTGTGCTTCTGCATTTTTACTCTTCTAGCACAAACGTGTAACGTGAGAATCCACGCTGAGGATTGGGCTACTGTTAACAGAAACGTGTAAAATGCAAGTTCGTTTAAAAAAAAAATTTATATATATAGATATATGCAAATGCTTTCCCCTCCCCTCCCAAATCACCTACAAAAGGTCACTATGCGAGGCTTCCTGTTTGTAGGTGGAGAGGAGCAGAGCTGGCCTGCAGACCCTGAGGCTGCAACGTGAAGGGGAGGAGACTGAAGTTCATCTGTCTTATCTCTGTTCTGTCAATAAAATGGAGCTGGGTCTTTAGATTATTATTATTTTTTTTAATTACTATTTTAAAAAGGAAGAGTAAGTTTGGGTTTTGTTTTTTGTTTGTTTGTTTTTTTTTTTAAAAGGAAAATATCTTGGCAGTTTTTTTGCTCATCTGTTCAAAATCTCAAATCCTCCACAGTAACAGGCCAGACCATGGAGTTAACGCAAACCCAGAGACCCCTATGGATTAATTGTACTGTTTGTGAATTTGTATAAAAAAAAATAACAAAGATCCTCTTAAAACATTTTATATTCTTACAGTAAAAGGTTAAACATATTTATATAATAAAAGAGGAAATATGAAGTATGTTTTTGAAAAAAAAAAAAAAAAAAAAAAGCCGTATCTATGTTGTCTGTGCTTTTTAAAGACAGGTATTTATCTAACCATCTATGTGTTGGGTTTGGTAAGTATGGCGTGCGGCTCATGCTGGGGGTTTGGGGCTGCTCGCTCTTGTTCCAGTGAGTGACGGAGGAGGAGGAGGAGGAAGGAAGAGAGCCTGGTGCCTCCTGTGCAGGATGTTGAGTAACAACATCGTCGTGAAGAGTTTGTAAGGAAGGGGTTCGGTAGGACCAGCCTTGTCTGCGAGGGCGCTCGCAGCATCCGTGGGGAGAAACTAAGTTCAGCTGCCCATCGGTGTGAGGTGTCAGCTCCGTTTGAGGTCAGACAAACCGCAGGTGCCGACGCTCGCTAGCAAGTGAATCGAGTATCCAGTGGTAGAGGAAGACATTTGGGAGGGAGGAGAGAAGGGCTGTCTTTCTTAACATTTTAAAGCTCCAGGTAGATGGCAGAGGTTTTTGTGATTTACTTAAATTGAGGCCCACCCTGAGTGGAAGACCCATCAAATAAAAACGTTTCCCAGCAGTGACAACCACCAAAACCCGTGCCCTTGCCGGCACACGAGGACCTGGGAAATCTGAAGTGTGTTGGTTGGTTTCCACTGCCCAGGCGAAGATTAAAGAGGAAGTAAAGTGGGAATTAAAAAAAAAAAAAAGTTTGACTAATCTAAGGTGTCCTTTGTCCTATACCATAATCTTTCTCCTCAACATACGACTTTTAACCCGACGGGGTCCCTTTTTAGCCTTCCACGATGTGGGTTTTTTATTGTTGTTGGAGCTGGAGCTTAAGCGGTGTTTATAGGGCAGCGACAAAGCCCGTCTTCCCCCCGGTCCGGCGGCGGGGCTCGGTCGCCCCGCTGCCCCCTTCCTGCCTCGAAGGAGGGGGAATGCGAAATGGTGGAAGAAGCCGGAGCCATTGTTCAGGAAAGTTAAAAGAGGAGCTGTCCTCGCTTGCTTGCTCAGTCATGCATACTCAATCTGGCCGGGCCCGGGTCCCTATGGAAAGGAGGAGGGCGATTCTTCCCCTCTTTTTAACATTCCTCTCCAGGCTTGGCTGTATTTAAGCTTTCCTCCGCCCGAGGAGGAGGGAGGGGGATGGTCTGAAGTTCCTGTACATTTGCATTTTAAGCACTTCCAGCGCTGAGCAGGCCACTTTGTTCCCGCCCGCGCTACCCCGCTCCAGCAGCCCTCGCTGGGGTGCTGCTCCAGGTGGGTCGGATGCCCTACCGAAGGAGGTCCCCTCCGCGTTCGGGGCCGGCCTGCCCCATATGCTTAGCCTCTGCCTCCACAGGTATTTTTGGTTGAGGCTGGACTGGGTATACTTCTTTGTTGCCAGCTCTAACCACCTCACCCCTTTTATGTCACTGCCGCATCTCAAAGGGGAAAACAGTGCCCAACTCTGGGCCTCTTAAAAAGAAACACTGTCTATCTCCTCTGCATCCTAAGGACCTGGACTGTCTCAAGGTTTGGACTTTGGGGTGCGTGCTGGCTTTTCCTCCCCTCTTTCTAAGACTTCCAAGCTTTCTGTTGGGAGTCCATCACAAAAGCTGCATTGTGCGCTTTAGGGAAAGCCACCACAATTGGATCTAATTGAGCCTGACACTATATCCATCTTCCTTTCCTTGGAGGGAGGTGTGGGGTCTGTCTTTCCTGCACTAAGAAAAAAAGTTTACAGTAACTTCTTGACCGAAAAAGAGGATGTATGTATGAACGTTATAAACAACGGGAATTCCAGATCAGGTTCCCGTTACTGCCGTAAATGTAAATGTTCCTGGGTAGGCAGCAGTTCCAGGCAGGGATGGGGAACGATACATCTCTCATAAGGTAGGTTTGTTTCTGCTGGATTTGATTGAAAATGGCATCTCTTCGTATTAAGCCCCATGTTCACATGGATAATAGCGGGGTATCTATGTCTAAATATAACGTGTGTGCTCATAAGTTTTGTAATCAGAACTAGGACAGGATTTTTTTTTTTCCCCTAAAAAACCCCCCAAACTTCCTCTCCCCGCTTAAAAAAACCAAGCCAAAACATTGCCCACATGGCCCGCAATGCCATGCGGGGAAAGGGAACCCAAGGCTAAGAAAGCTGCTGAAACCAAAGCCTCCCCAAAGCCCAGCGTTTAGACACCCTGGGCTGTTCCCATAGATGGAGCAAGTGCTCCTCATGCCTTCCTCACGCCCCAGTGTGACAGCACCTCCTCCGGCACAGAGGCAGTCCTCCCTATCCAGAGAGGCCAGGGCTGGGGGAATGCATGTGTTTACTAGCAAAGAGAAGGGTTTCTTAAAATAAATAATCCATTGCCAGCAACCATAGACCAATTACCATATGACTCCTCAGGGTAACAAGGAAACTTAATTTTCACTCTCCAGCCACTGTTGAATTTTTGAAGATGACTCAGTTGGCAACCGGGATAGAAAACCATAAAAAAACCCCCCACTATTTGGAAATGAGCTGGAAGTCTCCTGTCTGTGTCAGTGAGCCCGCGGTGCCCCAGCGGTGGCTTTGGTGCCAGCCTTCGCCACTGCGCCGAGCAAAAGCGCTCTCAGCCCACCCAGCCGTACTGGTTGGGGCAGCAAGGTCCCTTGCCTGCAGCCACACAAGCCGGGGCACGGAGGATGGAGGATGAACCAGGGACCTGCTTTACAGACTGGTGGTTCTGGGGAGCAGAGGGGCCACGCTTGAGAGGTGGTGGCAGAAAGCAGAGCGGAGCAGGAGCGACGCAAAGGGGGGAATGAAGGGACTGGGCAGGAGAGGAGGTGGCTGGGGACCAAGGGGTAGCGGTGGGGGACGCTGGCTCGCAAGCTGCAGTGAAGTCCCTGCGTGCATGGGGGTCCCTGGTCTGCTGCAGCAGCTGCTCCCCTGGCCAGAGCCCCGTTCCTGGCTCCTCTCCCCAGGAGATGGGGAGGAAAAGGAGGCTCCAGCTGGGTCCTACTGCCCTTGGACTAGCATACGGGAGGTCCGTGCATGACAGATTTATACATTCTATACCTTCCCACCCCACGCTGTGGGTTCGGCTGAATCAGTTTGTCGTGGTGATTCTGGGGTCCTTTGTTTCCCTGTTAATAAATAACGGGGTCACGGGGCAGCTGTCACGCAAACCGCCTGGGGCCTGTGCTAGGACGAGAGGTGATCTCCGTGCTAGACAGTACAGAGCTTACTAATGAACCTGCCCTTTGGTGGTCAGGGAAGAGTTAAAATGAGAGCTGGGTGGCCAAGACACCCAAAGTTTTTGGGACCAAAGCTAGAAGTTAGCACAGGCTGCCGTTAACAGCTCAAGGGTAGGTGTCCCTCGGATCTGGCAGCCTCGCTACGTACGTACGCAGGATGCTTCTAGCGAAGTGGACCCTTTTTTGTTTTCTCTCTCTCCCTCCTCTACCTTAAATCCCACTCTTTTAGCCAGCAGCTCTTTAAGAGTGCCTTTTGTGGAGGAAAAAGACAATCGATAAACTCAGCTGGGTGGTGCGGGCTGGATGTGAGGACCCCTCAGGACATCGGCGAGGCCCCACACCAGAGCTGCTGGCTGGGCTGCATGACGCTCCCCACCGCAGCCAGCCAGCGAGGCCGTCCCGCTCAATTCCCCAGCCCCAAGCTGCACGGAAGAAAGAGCTGGAGAGGGTTTGTCAGGCTCTTGTGCCAGAACTTAAGACTCCAGCCACATTTGGCAGGGATGCTAGTGCCTCTCCCCCTTCTTTAATTAAATCTACCAAATGCATTCGCTCAATGGCAGCCCAAACTGAAATAGCACCACGGAGATTTCGAAAGATCCAAATCCGATCTGTCCTTGCAACAGAAAGATGAACGGAAATGGGATTTTCCTGAAAGATTTCCTAAAATCTGGGGTGTGTTTTGGAAAGGGTGTCAAAAGTTTAATGCCAGGGCCTGGACGCATGCCCTGAGCAAGTATTTCCACATGAGAGGGTTACTGAGACAGAAACCAAACTCCTATTCTGCTACAGAAACTAACTCGGATCTAGAAATGGGCATCTCCTCCTAGTTATTTTCCTTCCTTTGAGTCTTGTGTCTCCGGGCACAGTTTAGTGACTCCAAGATAAAGCAATTTCCCCTCCCAGCTTTAAAAAAAAAACCCAAAATTTTATCTGAGATTCGTCGTCTTCCTCCCTCTCCTTCTTCCCTTTCTCCCCTAAAATGTCCCAGCTTTACAACCCCTGGGCAACTTAAGGGGCTTGGCAGGTCAGCACCAAAGGTGTACAGACGGG